AGTCTGTCATTTACGATTAATTGCTACACATTGTCTCACAACGATTTTGGTGACTTGATAGTATCAATGGATTTCTAACTTTTATTTTGTAATTTTGTTAATGTATAACTTTTTAGTTTATAGTTTTATATTTAGGATTAAAAAAAAATACACAATTTTAACCTTAGGTGATAAATTGAAGTTTGATAAAGTTAGCTTAAGGGATGTTAGTGATGAATTTTTGAAAATCTAGGAGTATTGTTTGATTAAATCTACATAAGCTAGCATATATCCATTTATTACTGAAACTATAGGGGTGGTTGGTGATCATCTCCCCTTTTTTATGAACACAAATTGAATTTGAAGAAGCTTAACTGATCAACTTAGAGAAGTTCAGTTGATGATAATTAGTCAAGAAATGCAATTATAAATTTATAACTTTAGCTTTAGCTTTTGGCTCTTTGCATTTCATTTGGGCGGGAATTATTGCAATGGTGGAACCATTACTTCCATAAAAGTTGCGGAAGTCTGCCTTGTTTCATCATCTCCAATAAATATATAATACTTTAAAATCAATTAGATTATTTTTTCCTCTTTATTGTCGGAAGAGTGAGCCATGATTGAATGATGGAGGGGCCCTAGTTTCCACTTTCCACGTTTCTCACAATGCACTAAATTATTAAATTATAGGATTATACTTCAAATTGGGTAATATATAATTAATTAAGAATAACATTTATGAAAATTTTATTTCAGTTATTGTAGTCGAAAATTGGAGTAAAATAAAGTTTATTTGAATTTTACTTAATTACTTTTATCAAAATAAATTCTTTTAAGTTTTTTAATTAATGGAATTAATTAATAAGTGTGCTTTCTAATTATTTCTTTAATAAAGTTGAGACATTCATATTTTTGTTCATAGGGTTTGAGGACATTGTCTTAAAAAATTAGTAAAATAATTTGTTGAAAACCAACTGTTAAAGGGTATATATATGTCTTTGTCTTGGTGATCATGAGTGTTCAGGTCAGTTTGCATGCACCTTTACTAATCCCTCGGAATCTTAAAGTTAATGACTGGGTAAATTTTCCAGTAACAACCCCTATTAACAACCGAGAGAAATGAACTCAAGACTTTTTGAGTAATACATCTAAGGGTGTTTAAGGGATATATATGTCTTTTTAACCCTCTCTTAAAATTCAAATCCGAGTTATTAACTGAAATAGTGGATAGAAATATCCATTTATTAATGAAGCTATAGGGGTGGTTGGCAATAAACTCCCCTTTTTTATGAACCCAAATGTAATTTCAAGAAGCTTAACTGACCAACTTAGAGAAGTTTAGTTGATGATAATTAGTCAAGAAATGCAATTATAAATTTATTAACTTTAGCTTCAGCTTTTCCTTTTTTGCTTGCTGTTCTTCATCACCAACAGTGGAATTTTTTGTTAGCTTTCCAACAATCAATATGTGAACGCATTTTTTCATATAATAACTTTGTACTCTAAAATCTAAATATGATTCAAGGCCTACTTAAGAAATGATCTAAAGTAATAAACTTTATTCAACTCTGATTGAAATAAAATTGGAAAAATAGACTTTTAACGTTAAGCTTGCTGATCACTCCTGAATATATAATTAAAAAATGTATTTGTAATATGTGTTTTAGCCATATGCAGTATGAAATTCAACTTACATAAATCATGGCAATTTCACTAGGTACATGTAGATTTTCTTACATTGACTTCGGTGACCTCGATAGTATCATTGGATGTGTCACTATCGGTGTTGGTGGCCCTTCACCAACAATGGTTGTGCAATTTTTTTAATTCTAATAAAAACTTATTTAATAATTGATTTAAATTAATTAATTATTTTTTAATATAAAATTATTTTATAATTTGAAATATTATACGTGGGTATATAGATTTGGAAGAAACAAAAAAAATTTAAACTTGTAAGTCTTCATCCTAATTGTCTTCTCTAATAATTATTAAATGGAACCTAAACATACTTGAAGAGTAAACAGAATACTGAATTCAGTTAGAACTAAGCTTAAGGTAAAACAGTTCCACAGCTAACACTTAACAGACTCTAAAGGATTTACTGACCTGTCCATTAACAACACTAACAACAACCTGACCTGGCACCTTCTTTAGTAACAATGAGTGTGTTTCTTTAATGGAAAAACGTTCCACAACTAGCACTTAACAGACTCTAAAGGTTTTGCTGACATGCCCACTAACACTAAACAACTTACTAACAACACTACTAGCAAGGTAACCTAGAACCTTCTTTAGTTACAATGAGTGCGTTCTTTTATGAAATTTGTATATCTGTTTTTGTATTTTTTAAAATATTGAAAATGATTTTAAAAAGTGAAAAATTAAAACATATTCGGCATATTTGTTTGAAAAAAATATTTAGAAATGTGAAAGATAAAAACATATTTATTTTAAATAAAAGTGAAGCCCATGTATTTTTTTTTTCCTTTTTTTGGTTAGTAAGTAGTATTATTAGAAAAGAGAAAGAATATAGAGAGAGACTATAAAAAAACCGGTCATCCTACCTCATGACAAGTTATGAGATAGAAACAAAAACACTAGTTTAATAGACTAAAATCTTAATCTCTTTTTGTTTGTTTATCTTAAGTACACGAAGATAAGAGACAAAAGGATAGGAGCAAGTAAAGGAGCACAAAGACAAATATATATTACTATAGGATATGCCCTGTGATAGGATCCAAAATACACTTAAACAAGACTAAGAATAATTGTAAATAACATTTTTTCTACCTCAGGACAAGTCTTGGGTTAGGAAAATTTATGTTCGTCACATGTTGGTTTCAAAGATAGTCATAGGTAATCCCTAGCGGAGCCCCATGTTTCTCTCTCTTAACTCCCCTGTCCTCTTTTTTTCTAGTTTAAAATCCGGCAAAAGTGCTAATGACGCCAATATTCTGCATTTTCCCGTGCAAGGAAAATGAAAATAAAACAGAAAATCCATAAATGAACAGTACCAATAAAAAATCAATATACAATTAAAAGATTAGAAGTTAACGATCAAGCCACCAATTCCAGTAGTGGCCATATGGCCGGCTTGGATCTTGTACGTCTAGCGGCCATATCTATGTCATGTCAGGCCGACCATGGTCATCGTGGGCCCGCTACGGCCACGGTTGCTGGCTAGCTACATGGCTGTTGGCTACTTTTTAATTATTATTTTTTCAATTTTCTTAAAAAGTTTTTCTATATTCTTAAGATGCATTAACTTTTTATCATTTTTTTAATTGATACGTTCACAATTTTATGGATTCTTTTTAAAATTATTTGACTTACAAATTTTATTTTGTAAACTTACAATAATTACCTTAGCTATGTTAAAAGAAACAGTTTTTCACTGTTAATTGTTTCTTTTTGAAAGAAAATGAAAATTATGTCCTTTTAACTCCAAATGCAATTTTTAGTGAGACTTCATAATTTGGATCAGTTTACGCGCATCTCAATTAGTTTTCCTAAGCCTTGAAGTTAACAGCTAAGTAAGTCTCGAGTGGCCTACATTTATTAGTAGTCGTGGAGATACAAAATTAAAACCTTTTGAGTAATACATTCAAAAGTCCCCAACGAACCACCAAACTGCCTAAAGACTTTATATTATTCAATCATAGCTGTTCATCTTAGTAAGTTGGGTCCAATGAATTTGTAAAGACATTTCAATCTTAAGGGTAAATGGTCACTATATTGTTTTTTCTTTTGAACGGAATATTTACTAAATCTTGTAGGTGGGACAATGTGTTTTCCCAACCCTTTTTTTCTTTGTCTTTTACAATCAACTTTATTAAAGAGAAATTATATTTGACCCCACTGTTGTCTCACTGTATTCTTTTATCATTTCAAAGTATACCATATACAGTGTAAATTTATATCTAGGCGATCATCCTAAACTATATACTGAACTTTCTTTTATTGCAATTTAAAAACTTTGATTTACAAGACATGTATAATAAAATAATAATAATTTTTCTAAACAAAATATTTATGACTTGCATAAGTCAGATTTGTTTTATTATTGCTATTCCTTATCTTGATTTGTTATTTTATTATAGAAGTTTATTTATTTTTCCTACGCACTATACCTTATGCTTGAAGGTTTATCTTTTTCGTATAATTTTGTCTGTATAGTGCAAGAGGAATACTACTATTAGTAGTTTTGGAATGAAAATGTTAAGGAGGAGGTGCAGAAAGAGAATGAAAATGTTTTGAAATTTCTGAAGCCCAGAATTATGAAGTTGCTGAAAGAGAATTGTATTATAATTATGGATGAGAATTGTATTAAGTCATTTTTAGAGGACTGATTTATATTGTCTGCCTACTTTTGACTATTTCGAAAGCATTCCATTTCTTTCAAAGTGAATTACCGGGATTGCCAGCTTCTTTTTGACTTGCTTTTTTTTTTTTTTAAAATAAAATATTTGGTAGAAGAGAGTGGAAAGAAAGTTGTGAGTGTTTGAACATATCCTTTCTTCCAATCTTCGTTGGTCTTTACTCACCCAGAAGAAAAGCAAACATAGCACTCTGGTCCTTGAATACAGCTCTTACGCAGATAGAGCGATTGAGGTGCCATTTCCTTAAACTTCGAAAACCAATTCCTTTGAGTACTCTTTACTATTATTAATTCTGTCATTTTATTTGCCCTGCTTTCTATCCAGTATCCATTACTATCTTCAAGCCCCAAAAAAAAAAAAGATTTTATGTTCATCGAGCTTTTTCTCATAAACACATTAGTTTCTGCTGTGTTTTCAATATTATTAATTTTCTGTCATATTATTAGCTTTGCTTTAGATCCAGTATCAAAAATTGTTTTCAACTTCTCTTAATCCTTTTTTGATCATATTCCCCATATTTCTAGTATCTGGATTTTTTTTTTAAACATTAGTTTTAGATTTTTTTTTAATCTCATAAACATTTCTAGTATATCTCTTTCGTCGGTATTTCTTTTTTTCTTGTCCTCCTAAGAAGCGTTTGTCAGTGGCTTTCCTTGTTTAAACCAGAAAGAAAAAAAAGAAAAAAAAAAAGTTGCAAGAAATAGGTAATGGCTGAATTAGCAACTGCTGCTGGTTCCAAAGCTGCAGAAAAAGTTACAGAGACCTTGTATGATTTCATTTGTCGGAAGATTTCCTATGTGTTCAAGTACCAAAAGTATATGGAGAAGGCAAAGGAACAAGTTGAGGAGCTCAGAAGTCGAAGACAAGATCTGGAAGCAGATGTTGGCGTTGCTGAACAACAAGGGGAAGATATTTACAATGAAGTTAAAGACTGGCTGAGGGGCGTGGAAGGTTTCATGGAACGTGAAGTAAAGCTTGTTGATGATGAAGATAAAGCAAAGAGGCGCTGTTTTAAAGGGATGTGTCCTGATTTGATGAAGCAATACAGGCTCAGCAAGGATGCAGAGCAGGTGGCAGAGGATGGAGCCAAGCTCTTGGAAAAAGGAAAATTCAGTGGAGTTTCCCACCCCCCTATTCTAAGGAGGACAAAATCCATATTTGTCGGCGAGGACTATGAGAGCTTTCACTCAAGAGAGTCCAGTTTCCAGGATATCATGGAGGCATTGAAGGATTCCAAGGTTAATATGATTGGAGTGCACGGGATGGGTGGTGTGGGCAAAACCACTCTGGTCAAAGAAGTTGCTTGGAGAGCCAAGGAAGATAATATATTTGATGAGGTGGTATTTACAGAGGTAACACAAACTCCTGATCTTAAAAAAATTCAAGCCGACATTGCTGGTCTATTGGGCATGGTATTTAGAGACCAGGAGAGTCTATCTGGAAGAGCTGATCAATTACGTTATAGGTTGAAGAAAGCCAAGAGAATCCTTGTAATTGTGGATAATATCTGGAAGAAGCTTGACTTGAAGGTTGTTGGGATTCCTTTTAGCTATGATGAGAAACGTAGCATCCAGCAAGACAGGAAAGAAAGCAACGATGAGCAAGTGCGATGCACAATATTGTTAACAGCTAGAACACAAGTTGTATTAAAACAAATGAAGACTCAGAGGAATGTATTTGTTGAGCCTTTGGATGATGATGATGCAAGAAATTTGTTTGGAAAAGTTGTTGGTGATTTAACAGATAGGTACGATATAGCAGCTGAAATAGTCAAAAAATGTGCAGGTTTACCACTTGCAATTACAACAATTGCAAATGCTTTAAAAGGTAAGAGTGATTATGTATGGAGGGATGCATTACATCAGTTAAAAAGTTCTAATCCAAGATGTGTTCCTGATATGGATGACACTTTATACTCAGCTATAGAACTGAGTTACGAATTGCTGAACAGTGAAGAAGCAAAATCACTACTTCGACTTTGTGCTCTGTTTAATGCGGGTAGTCATATAGAACTATTTTCCTTGCTGGCATATTGTATGGGTTTGGGCTTGTTTCATGGTGTTTATACTCTTAACGATGGAAGGAATAGAATCAAGTCGCTGATTGATTCTCTGGAAGCTTCGTGTTTATTGTTGAAAGGTAACAGTAACGAAACGGTCAAAATGCATGACATCATTCATGCTGTTGTTGCATCAATTGCTAAAGAGAAACGTATGTTTAATATTCAAGATGGCAATGGCTTTAAAGAAGGGCTGGTGAACGAAGTTTACAAAGATTCGGTTGCAATTTCTCTGCCTTATATAGACATTGATGGACTTCCTGAAAGGGTAAAGTTTTCGAATCTTGAGTTATTTACTTTGTATCTTGAAGAAGGTCATCTTTTACAAATCCCAAACCACTTTTTTGAAGGGATGATGGAACTCAAAGTTCTAGATTTGGAGGAAGTTCATTTATTACCACCACCCTCATCCTTTCTTTGCCTAACAAACCTTCAAACATTGAGTCTGATGTATTGCACTTTAGGAGATATAACAATGATCGGAGAGCTAAGCAATTTACATATTCTTAGTTTTGTATGGTGTGAATTCGAACAATTGCCTGAAAGTTTTAGACAATTGACGCAACTAAAGTTATTAGAACTAACCAATTGTCCAAAGCTTAAAGTAATCACACCAAATGTCATAGCCAACTTGTCTCTATTAGAAGAGCTATATATATATAATAGCTTTGATCAATGGGAAGTTGAAGGACGGAATAACGCGAGTCTTGTTGAGTTGAAGAGATTGTCTAAATTGAACACTTTATGCATACATATCTCGAATCTGCAGCTTATACAGCAGGACTTTATCCCTGAGAATTTAGAAAAGTATACAGTACATATTGGAGATGCATGGGAGTGGTCTTATGAATATGAACCCTCGAGAACATTGAGACTCAAGTTCAATAGAAGTCTTCATTTGAGGTATGGGGTTGAAATTTTGCTGGAGAAAGCTAAATATCTCTATCTAGATCAGCTAGATGGTGTTAAGGATATACTTTGGGAAATTGACAGAGAAGGTTTCCCACAATTAAAGCATCTCTCTGTACAAAATAGTTCTGAAATTTTGTATATTGTCAACTCAATGGGATGCACTCCTTCTAATGATTGCTTTCCAATCTTAGAATCATTGTTTCTTGTTAATCTAAGTAATATGGAGAAGATATGTTGCAGCCTAGTCAATGCGAAGTCTTTCAGCAAATTAAGAATCATAAAAGTAGAAAAGTGTGACAGGTTGAGGTATCTCTTCTCATCCTCTGTGGCCGAAAACATCTCTCAGATACAAGAAATCGAAGTAACTGATTGCAAGGAGCTAAAGGAGATTATTGGTCAAGAAATTGCAAACCATGTTGATGAAAACGAAAGGAATTGTAAGGTTGAGTTTAAACTATTGCATTCCCTAGTACTACAATGCCTGCCACAGTTCATAAGTTTTGGCTTGAAAGTATGTTTTGTCTTTTCTTTTCCCTTCTATTTTGTTTTACTATAAAATTAGGTGTTCTTTAATTAGTTTCTACGTTATTTATGGAATGAGATTTGTTTCTGCAGGTTGTGTTGCCAAGATTGGAGAACCTGAAACTATCCTCAATTAATATCGAGAACATATGGGTTGATCAACCAAAACCAATACCTTCCTATATTGAATGCTTAAAAAGCTTATCTGTGGAGGACTGTAATGGTTTGAAGTTTATGTTTTCATCCTCCATGGTCAAAAGTCTCGTGCAACTCCAAAAGCTTGTGATATGCAACTGTAAGTCGATGGAAGCAGTAATATTTGACTCAAAAGGGTTAGAAGGAGAAGACAAGATAATTGATATGAGTTTTCCAAAACTATTCTACGTAAAGCTTGCATGTCTTCCAAAACTCACAAGATTTGGCACTGGAAATTCAATTGAATTCACCACCTTGAATGAACTTCACATTGAGAGTTGCTCTAATTTGAAGATATTCTTCCACAATTCTTCTGGTGTAGAGAGGCTAGGAAAGGAACTTGATGAATTTATTTCGACGAAAAATATTACTGATGTAAATCCCCTTTTCGATGAAAAGGTGAAGTTATAAATTTTCGTTGCCAATTGGCCACAAAATGTTAAAATTCTTTGTAGCTATTAGTGTCACCATTATCTGCAACTAATTAGTAGAAATTCTCTTATAACGCTCTTCTTTTGTTTTCTTTTTTCTTTTAGGAGAAACAAAAAATCTGTTTGTTAAAATTCTTTATAGCTATTAATGTCATTACCATTATCATTACCTAAATATTAACATGAGGAGATTTTTTTTGTAGGTTGTTTTTCCAAGCTTAGAGAAGATGTTTCTCTCACACCTGGATAACTTACACTTGATATGGCACAACCAACTCCATGCAGATTCCTTTGGCAAACTAAAAGAAGTGAGAGTCGAATTTTGTGAAAAATTGATGACTATTGTTTCTTCTAATTCTGCTCAAGGACTTCTTACCTTTCACAATCTAGAAACATTAATTGTTGAGAATTGTTGGAGTATGAAAAGTCTATTCCCAGTTTCCATAGCTACCGGTCTTTTGCAACTTAAAGAGCTTATGATTTTCTCTTGCGGGTTGGAGGAAATTGTTTCCAAGGAGGAAGCAGATGGGACCCCTATATTTTTGTTTCCTCAGTTAACCTTCCTCGGACTTGATAATTTACCGAAACTCATACATTTCTACATGGGGTTGCATACAACAGAGTTGCCAATGCTAAAATTGTTGAGGGTGTATAATTGTGGAAAAGTAAAAGTATATGCTTCAGATGGAGAGAGCCAACCTGCCCTGTTTTCGTTTGAAAAGGTATGACTTCTCCTATTGCATCTAAACAAAGCAACATAATCATTAAGGTTAATTTATGAAGTTTCTTTCTTTTTGTTATTATTTCATTTTTCTCTTTAAATCAAGAATGCATTTATAGTAACCGACTAGTCATGTTTCAGGGTAAGACATAAATGATTGATTTAGCTACTTGAATATCTATTTTTGTTAATTTATATAATTTTTGTACTTTAAAGTTGTTTATAATTAGAATGTTAGAATTATATTTATTTAAAACGTATAATTAATATAATTAATTGGAAAGTTAAATGGTTAGAAACTGAATTGCAACTTTCTTCTAAATTTAAAAACCTGACTCGTGAATTAATTGATGAATGAATATTTTTGCTTGTTCATTGATTTTCAGGTGATACCCAATTTGGAAAACTTGGCTTTAAATGGTGATTACATTACATCCAGGTGCCTTGATCGTATTCCAGCTAGAAGCTTTTTGAAACTTAAATTTCTTTCATTGGCTTACCTTGATAAGGAGTCAGTAGCATCTTGGTTTGGTGTTCTTAAAAAATTGTACCATCTGAATTCACTCTATCTATACGGTTGTACTTTCCAAGAACTATTCCCATATGAAGAATGTCTATGCAAAAATGATTCCCAAGTGGACACATTTCTTCAAAATCTTCAAACTCTGGAAATATGGAGCTGTCATCGCTTGACATATTTAATGTCATCCTCCACAATTTCCTTCAAAAACATTAAGAATTTGGAAGTCCACTGTTGTAATGGATTGACTAATATATTAGCATGCTCAGTAGCGAGAGCTCTTGTCCATCTCACAACAATTAGAATAACAGAATGCAAGTTATTGACAGAGGTAATAGCGACTGAGGTCGAGGCAATGGAAGAGGAGATGGTTTTCAGCCAATTGAAAATTCTGGAGCTTCATTGTTTAACAAGCCTCACAAGCTTCAGCTCGGCCAATTGTGCTTTCGAATTCCCATGCTTAGAGCAAGGTAATTGTTAGTCAATGCCCCAATTTGAAGATCTTTTCCCGAGGAGGCTTGAGCACACCAAAATTAAGGAGAGTACAACTAACAAAGAAGATTGATGAAGAATATTTGTGGAATGATGACCTTAATTCCACTGTCCATCAGATGTTTACAGATATGGTACTTACTCATTCCAAATCTTTTTTTTTTCTTTTGCATTGTTGCTATTAATATGATTATATATAAATGACCATCAGCACTAATATTTTTATTGTCATTATTTTATTATTTAAAAATTAGTAAGAATACAATGACAGTGCCAAAATCATGAGGTGCAAGAGCTATTATCTTCGATAACTATAACTAGGATGTTAAATTCTCAAACTGCTATACTTGCAACAATCCATGATCCAGGCCTCCACAACTATTGTAATTAAAAAATTTGTAATTGCAGCATTCCATATACTTCAAATCCTGGTGCATATATATATATATATATATATATATATCTTTTCTTCTTGTCCATGAAGTTCCTTTTGCATTTTTATTGTTATATAATTTTAATTGAATATATTGCGCATATAAAAGTGGATATAATTTTTCATGTCTATTGAATAGCAAAAAATTATTGTTGAATTGTTCCACATATTTTGTGTACAAGTTTGGGGTGATTTTATTTATTCGGTGTATTAACATCATTAAAATATAACATTACTATTATTAGATATTGGAAAGTGTGTTTTCTTTTTCGTTTTGTTAAAAAAAGACATATTAATATGATAAAAGAATTGTCTTCTCTTGTCCTCAGCATTATTTGTCCTTAAAATTACCCATAGTCAATGTTTTGTGACAAAGGACAAGGATGAAACCTTTTGTTAAGAATATGAAATTTTTAATAATAATCAGCAACTCCACATGTTAAAATTTCATTGACTTTGATATGAATTCATATTGTTATGCTTGAAATACTTTTTTTTTTTTTTAATTGCTTTGGCCACTTGTAACAGGTTTTAACCAAATATTTTGTGTTTTATAGGTTGGTTTCCCCAACTTAGCATATCTACGGCTATCTGCATTCCCCACATTAGAAGATAGATTTTGGAACGCCAAAGTTCCTACCAGCTTCTTCTACAGTTTAAAGTGGTTGGTTTTGGACATGTGCTTGGACACGTCATGTGGTATTCCATTCAATGTATTGTGCAACTTAAAAAATCTTGAAAAATTGGAAATAAGAAGTTGTGATTCACTGAAAGAAGTGTTTGATATGGAAGGACAATTAAATGTTGATGGACATACATTGAAGAAAAGTCATCAGGAAGTTTTGGCCTTCAACAACCTGAAATCCTTTGAAGTTCACAATTGTTGTAGCTTGAGACATATATTTACTCCATCTATCATTTTGGGTCTTGCTCAACTGAAAGAGATAGAAGTAATAAACTGTGCTTTGATAGAAGAAATCATCTCGAAAGAAGAAGAAAATGAAGCAGACATTGAGAAAATTATGATAACCCAATTGAACTCCATTATTCTTGAGTCATTGCCTAACTTGACAAGCTTCTATTCAGGAATGAATACTTTGGAATGTCCTGCCTTGAAAGCTATTACAGTAGCCAAGTGTCCACAGATTGAAACATTTGTTTTTGCTGATATAAAGCACCAATCTGACAATATTGTGCCCCTTCTTAGTGAAAAGGTTTGTATCATTGAAACTCTTTCATCACTGTTTTAATTTTATTATCTTTATAATAATCTATGTTATTATCATCATTCATAGTTATTAGAAATTCAATTATCATGCATAGTTGAAAATAATATAACTTTTTTTAGTGGTTTTTAAGAAGACAAAATCTTTTTATTGAATTTTATAACATTAAAATTATTATTTTAATATATTTTGGAAAGCTTACCACGAGATGCTTTTTGTAGGTTGTATTTCCAAGCTTGGAGGAGATGTTTCTCTCACACTTGGATAACTTACAGTTGATATGGCACAACCAACTCCATGCAGATTCCTTTGGCAAACTAAAACAAGTGACAATCAAATTTTGTGAAAAATTAATGACTATTGTTCTAGCTAATAATAGTCAAGGACTTCTTACCTTTCAGAATCTGGAATCGTTACATGTTAAGAAGTGTTGGAGTATGAAAAGTCTATTTCCAGTTTCCACAGCTACTAGTCTAGTGAAACTTAAAGAGTTGAGGATATACTCTTGTGAGTTGGAGGAAATTGTTGAAAATGAAGAAGTAGAGGGGGCCCCTTCCCTTGATTTGTCTGGAAAGGTATGAATTTATCTATACTTTTTATAAAATGTAAAATAATCTTTTAGATTAATATGACATGTTCATGATACAAATTCTATGGTATTGCTACTAATTATTTCCATATTCCTTTAAATAACCTTCTTGCCAGTAAAAGACAGTCAACGACTGAAGTTTTTTCCATTTTCAAAACAAATGGCAGTAAACTAATTGGTTGGTCTTGTTTCATTGGTTAGATATTATTGATTTTTGTGAATTAAGAAGTTCATTTTTGTTAACTTATGTATTCTTTTATATTGTTAAAGTATATTTATTTGAAACATATAATTAATTTAATTAATTGGGGAAGTTAAAAATTTCACCGATTTTGTACTGATTACAAGTTCCTTTTTCAAATTTGTCTCTTCCTAATACAATTAGTTCCTTTTTTTTTTTAAACAAACAAAAAATTAGGGCAGATAGTTTTGCTTGCTTATGGTTTCTTAAAAATTAATCAAAAGAACTGACTTCTTGTTGGTCAATAACATGACATTGATACCGCATATAAAAATCTTATTATATGTGTTTACCATATGCTCATTAAAACCTTCTTGCTTGTTCATCCATTTTGACTTACAGGTCATGCCCGATTTGGAATCATTGTCTCTGAATGTCGATGCCTTTAGACTGCAAACTAAAAGACTATTGGAGGGATTCTGCAAACTAAAAGAACTCTGTTTGCGTGAATTAAATGATGAATCAATTCCATTTTTCTATGGCTTCCTCAAAAGGTTATACAGTTTGGAAATCCTTACTCTACGTGATATTAGGTCCAAAGAGCCATTCCTATATGAAAGAGACGCAACAAAAGAAGATTCTCAAGTGGATCCATTTCTTCCACATCTTAGAGACCTGAGAATATGGACATGTCATGATTTGACACATTTATGGACATCCTCAGTATCTTTCACAAATCTTACAACTCTGGATGTATCTGATTGCGATGGATTGGTAAACATATTTACATGCTCAACTGTCAAATCTCTTGTCCAACTCACAAAAATGTCAATAGGAGAATGCAAGTTATTGAAAGAAGTAATAGTAGGTGAATTTAACGAGATAGAAGAAGAGATCGTTTTTTGCCAATTGAAAACTTTGGAGCTTTATTGGTTATCAAGCCTCAGATGCTTCTGCCCAACAACACGTGCCTTCAAATTCCCATGCTTGGAACAAGTAATTGTGAGTGGATGTTCAAAATTGGAGATCTTTACTCAAGGAAGTTTAAGCACGCCAAATTTAAAAAAAATACGAAGTTGGCTTGGTAGAGAGTATGTTGTGAAGGATGATATGAATTCCACAATCCAACAAATGTTTACAGAGATGGTAAATACTCATTCACAAAATCTTTTTATTTTCTTTATCATCTTTGTTATTAATATCGGTATACATGTCTTTATTACTATTACATTGGAGTAGATTAGATATGATTGTATAATTTATAATACTGTTCCATATTTGATGTATAATTAGACTAAATTATAAACACTGTTGAATTGATATTGATAATAATATAAATATATATTAATTAAAAATTCCAGTTCCCCTTAATAAATGTGTTAAATTAAATAAAACCCACCTTGTATCTTTATTACGCTAAAAGCCGCCNCTACAGCCAAAAAAATAATCCAAGTGGAACTACAGTGGCCCATTGTTGTATTGCCAAAGGAGAGAGGCAAATCATTTTCAGGTATTTCTGTTGTAATTATTTGTTTTATAAGTTCTTACTATCTAAATTAGAGGCATTATTACTTGCTTTATAATTAATGTTCTATCACTGTGTTGTATTTGTTTAAGCAGCAGAGGATAAATCAGGAGCAGTGGTCCAACACAAGGGACACGTTAAAGTTACTTAAGCAGATCTGAGCCCCTAGGTATATTTGCATTAGCAGGCTATAATCTAAGTTCAGGATGACTTACCCTTTAGTTGATATTGAAGTATCCATTAGTGCCGTGTTGCTTCCTAAAGAGATTCAAAGTCTTAACATATACGATCATCAGTTATGTACATGTTATTTTAATGGTCATTAATCTAATTAGGATAATAATAATAATAATAATAATAAAAAAAGCAATAAATGGTTAATTTTACCCTATCACCTATAAAATCGCAAGGCAGTCCATAGAAATGAGAAATGATGGTTAATTTTACTGATTGGAGATTATGGGGTTCGCAAGAGTATTCTGCTCTTGAGTTTTCCTTCTAATGCTTATGAGGAGTTGACAATTTTTTTATTTATTTTTCTTATTTTTTGGCAAGAGCATGTCGTTGAGTTTCACTTTTGGCAAAAATATCTTTATTTTGTGATATTATCTATTAAGATCATAGTGTAATATATATTTTAGCAAACTATAAATGTAAGTTCCTTGAGTATTATTGATTATATGTTTAGGATGAAAGACAATAGTCTATTATGAAGAATATAGAAGAGGAAGAATGAATTCTATTAGATCTTAGAATTGAATATAGAGGTTGAATTAGTCTAGTACCTCACTTCATTCTAATGGGCTATTCAGATATTTACAAAATAAATTAAGTGTTAAATTGTTAATAACTTGGGCTGAGCCAACTCAACAATCTAAACTATGTGTGCAATTTGAATTGTCAGTTTTGATATATCAAAATGTTGTTAAACACTCCTTCAACTAAACATATATTTTGTATATTAGCTATTATAATATCTTATGGATTTGCATATTGCAGTTTTTAAAGTTACTTTGTTATTGCCTCTGTTATCATAATAGAGCTCGCCGTACTGTAGAAAAATGTATTTCCATGTTATTAATTTAAATTCTTTGGACACTGAGCGGATATCTGCTTTTTGTTAAAAAATTCCAGTTGGTGTTGTGTTTGCCGGATGGTTAGCTTCTCTTCTAATCAGAAATGGAGCAAGATTTGGATGTGGAAGGGAATGATACTTTATGCCTGGAGAAGAAGCCTTAATTAGAAGATTTAGACCAATGCTGGTAAATGCCACAAAGACTATGCCTTGATCTGGAATGATGAAATTCTGGAGTACGTTGCAGAATTGGATTTCAAAAGTTATGTGTGGTTGAAGATTTTAGCTGGACTCCTACAGTTGCAAAAGGTTTCTTCACAGCTTCATGAAATTTTTCAAGTGGTGTTGGTGCTGAAGCCTTTTTCAAAGCTTACCTTTTTTTTTTCCTCCTGTCCATGTGCTGTTAGTGAAAGTTAATTATGTTCACTAAAGGAAGTTTTGTCCTCCGTGAAATTATAATTGAAGGAATTCTGACATGGGCGCCTGCTTTTACTTTATTTTATTTTATTTTTCAAGTCCAGAGAGGGCTAACCATTCTAGTGCTGCTCCAAGACAAGAAATATGAGCTAAAGTATTTTTTAGATTTTTTTTACCTTAAGTTTCTTCAGATTTCCTCATTTCCCTTTTGTTTATTTCAGGATGGCTTCAACAAGATTCATGATTTGGAGAGTTCACTTGCTTCGTTTCCTATCAAACCATTGCAAGCACTGAAGTAATGATTAGTTATTTTCTTCTCATCTTCAGTTGCCAAGACTTCATCAATATCATTAACTGTCTTCTAGGGTAGTGTGATATATGTATTTTCCAGAAGTTTTCAGTTTGAAATTGTTTGTGAACTGACTGGAATGGAAAAACAAATGCTGAATCAAGAAACTTTTATTCCCCTTCTCATTTTTGTTATTTTCTAATCATTACTATTGTTATGCATTTGTGAAATAAATTTGCAAATGAGAAAAACCTGTAATTATTTTTTCTCTTTAATGATGCAGAGTAGTTTTGATATTACTGAGGATGATGAGGGTACAACTAGTCCTAGTTGGAAGGTTACTGGTCAATTAGATATTGAGCAATAGTTTCTTACACAGACTTACCAGGGGCCTTGGACCAAGAAACTGGAAGGAGTGACGGTGAGAATTCGGGGAAAACTATCTCTTGACCACGTCATGCCATCTCTGAGGTAAAAAGGTTTTGAGTGGTTTACTAATACTCATTAATGCTTTTTCTCTTAAGAAAGTTACATGTGAAGGGGACAGGTAATCTTGATTGTAACTGTAGTTATATTTTCTTCTCTTTTTTTTATACCAATAGGTTGTATATATGAATTTATGATTTGGTTATTTCTTCTTTCTTTGTTCAGTTATAAAAAATTATCCATTATACTGTTCAATATATACTATATAGTTTTTTCTCAAGTTACCTGAAAATTAAATTTTGACATATTCTGCTTGCTTTTTCCAAAGTTGATCTGAATTCTTAGATATATTGTTTAGCTTATAATTATACAGGAAATATTGAGTAAAACCACCTAAAAATTCTCACATGCTACTTGTTCAAATAATGTAATGTTTAGATTCAATTATTCAAAAGGAATTAGTCTTTCAGGTTCTTCCATATTTTGCACATCTTTATTCGTGAATGGGCTCTGTAAATTTGCTCATGTAGATGCATATATAGTTGTATGGACACACATTAAACTTTTTGACCTATATGCCGCCTTCAATTTTTGACCCTATGGAAAGCATCATGTAAACTTGGGACAGACTTATTATTCGGTTGCTTTGAACCTATGTTGCACGAAATGCCAGCTTAAAATTCTAGGACACAAATATTGACATTAGAATAAGATTTGGTTTTTGGTGGTGACACATGATTCACCATATCAAAATGTTTTCTTTGTATCAAAAGCTGGCCATTTGTAGAATGCATAATGAATATATTTACTTTTTTTTTTCCTCCTGTCCATGTGCTTTAGTGAAAAGCTTTAATTATGTACACTAAATAAGTTTGGTCTCTGAAATTATATTGAAGGAATTCTCTACAGCCAAAAAAATAATCCAAGTGGAACTACAGTGGCCCATTGTTGTATTGCCAAAGGAGAGAGGCAAATCATTTTCAGGTATTTCTGTTGTAATTATGTGTTTATAAGTCTTACTATCTAAATTAGAGGCATTATTACTTGCTTTATAATTAATGTTCTATCACTGTGTTGTATTTGTTTAAGCAGCAGAGGATAAATCAGGAGCAGTGGTCCAACACAAGGGGACCGTTAAAGTTAATTAAGCAGAGCTGAGCCCCTTAGGTATATTTGCATTAGCAGGCTATAATCTAAGTTCAGGATGACTTACCTTTAGTGTGATATTGAAGTATCCATTAGTGCCGTGTTGCTTCCTAAAGAGATTCAAAGTCTTAACATATACGATCATCAGTTATGTAATGTTATTTTAAGGGCATTCACTAATTAGGATAATAATAATAATATAATAATAAAAAAAGCAATAAATGGTTAATTTTACCCTATAACCTATAAAATCGCAAGGCAGTCCATGAAATGAGAAATGATGGTTAATTTTAACTGATTGGAGATTTGGGGTTCGCAAGAGGTATTCTGCTCTTAGGTTTCCTTCTAATGCTTATGAGGAGTGACAATTTTTTATTTTTTTTTCTTATTTTTTGGCAAGAGCATGTCGTTGAGTTTCACTTTTGGCAAAAAAATCTATTTTGTGATATTATCTATTAAGATCATAGTGTAATATAATTTTAGCAAACTATAAATGTAAGTTCCTTGAGTATATTGATTATATGTTTAGGATGAAAGACATAGTCTATTATGAAGAATATAGAGAGGAAGAATGAATTCTATTAGATCTTAGAATTGAATATAGAGGTTGAATTAGTCTAGTACCTCACTTCTTCTAATGGGCTATTCAGATATTTACAAAATAAATTACGTGTTAAATTGTTAATAACTTGGGCTGAGCCAACTCAACAATCAAACTATGTGTGCAATTTGAATTGTCAGTTTTGATATATCAAAATGTTGTTAAACACTCCTTAAACTAAACATATATTTTGTGTATTAGCTATTATAATATCTTATGGATTTGCATATTGCAGTTTTAAAGTTACTTTGTTATTGCCTCGTTATACATAATAGAGCTCGCCGTACTGTAGAAAAATGTATTTCCATGTTATTAATTTAAATTCTTTGGACACTGAGGGATATCTGCTTTTTGTAAAAAATTCCAGTTGGTGTTGTGTTTGCGGATGGTAGCTTCTCTTCTAATCAGAAATGGAGCAAGATTTGGATGTGGAAGGAATGATACTTTATGCCTGGAGAGAAGCTTAATTAGAAGAATTAGACCAATGCTGGTAAATGCCACAAAGACTATGCTTTGATCTGGAATGATGAATCTGGAGTACGTTGCAGAATTGGATTTCAAAAGTTATATGTGGTTGAAGATTTTAGCTGGATCCTACAGTTGCAAAAGGTTCTTCACAGCTTCATGAAATTTTTCAAGTGGTGTTGGTGCTGAAGCCTTTTTCAAAGGCTATGATTTGCAAGCCTGTAGGAATTGTTTGTAGTTTTTTGCTAATATATCATGTACCGATGTGGAGACTAGAAGCTAGTTGTGATTCAGAGGTATATTTTATTCTTTGAAAGTCTTGTTTCTGCAGCTAATTGCACTTTCTATGTAAAATTTAACTGTTTTACTTCTAACAATGGCATAAATTATTATCCATTGAGCAGTTATCAATGTTTTCTAAAATTCCAGTGCGGTTATGTTTGGTGGACAGGTGCTCGTCTAACAAGGCATAAATTCATTATCCATGGAGCCTCCATTTTGATTCCAAAGATCGCCTCATGGACGTAAAAAATGTAACTTTTCATTCATCTATGCATACATTTCATCATAAATTTGTGTCTTTTTATATTATTTTATTATATATCTTGGTGTAAGCCTTTAAGAGTTTTACAATTGAACATTTTGATCATAGGTTTTTATTCTCTACTCCTTTAGAGAAAGAAAGTTCATTCGCTCCCAAGTTTGGGGGAAGTATGGAAACCCCCCCGAAACCAAATTCTCTTAAGACATTAGGGGCGAATGATACTTCCTTATCTCGTAGGGGGTAGAAAATATAATCCCCTTCGCAAAAAACAATTCCTTGTCTTTCATGAACCATCAGTTGCTTTTACAAATCTTTTATATTTAAAGGAATTGGTTAATACAAAAACAGTGATGGACCTAAAAATTTATGCAGAGAGGATAAAATAAAATTTTAAATATTAATAACATTGCGTATAATTTAGTTATTAGTTTAATGCTTTCAAAATAAACAATTATTCCCAATTATAAGGCATACAACTAAATAATCAGTTCATATGTGGACTTTAGGGATTGCATAAGAATTGAGAGCAAAATCATGCTAAATCTTTGTTAAGTTTCGATAACTACAAAGAGATTAGAGCAACTGTTTTATAACTGTTTTTAGAGCTCCAAAACGACAGCACGTTGAGCTTGTTGACTAGTTGAAACGACAGCACTTTGAGCTTCTTGATTTAGTTGAAACGACATCACTTTAAGTTCCAGGCTAAAAGATTATTCAACAGCCCCTTCAGCCTTCAAGCTAACCGTGCTTACAGTTTTAGCTTGCTTGAAAATTCCTAAAAATGATCACCAGCCCCCTTCAAGCCAAACATGCTATAGTTTCACTGAATTTTTTCTGAGACCAGTCAGTACAGATAACATGTGGAACATTATTTTCTTCAAATACATTAATACAAATTGCAATACATTTAAAACTTAATTACTTTTGTTACATTAATACAACTTAGAAATACTTTTCTGCGTTTCGTATAATGATTTCACAAATAATTTAGACCTGAGTAATTCAATTTATACACGGAAAATAAAACGATGTCCAATTAGTGTCTGATATGGGTTAATTTAAAGTGATTTTATTTTCATGCTTTTTATAATTTAGAATTGAGTAATTCAACTAATACATAGAAGACAGGATGTCTAAAGATGACCTAATTTGGATTAATTAAATTATTCAATCAATATGAACACAAGTCTAATTACATCAACCACTCAACCTGGGACCGGTCGCCGGACGGATAATATCTTGGGTCGTGTTTCAAAACATTGCCTTGTTCAGTCTTTTTTTATTTTTTGTTAATAAAATAGTAGTCAGTATTATTTAAATTATTCAATTAATATGAATGCAATGTCTAATGTATTGTTTAGCTGAATTATAGAAACCTTACTTTTAGTATAAACTGTAGTTCATAGACCAATTTAATTTTAGTTCTTACTAATAATAAATGTATAGATTATGCCAATCTGATAAAGCAACACGAGATTGAAAAAAAACGCAGAAAATATTGTCTTTTATGAAAGAGTAATGCTAGCCTTACTGACTCTCCCTATCACTTCTTTACTTTTGTAAATATAAATTATAGGACAGTATCATAAGCATAGTACAGGTATCATATTGTTATTTTAACAAAGATAAGTAGAGAAAGTGAGTAGAAGGAGTGAGTAAGGCTAGCATTTTTCTTTATAAAATGATTAGAAGACATAAATACCTACACTAATAAAAAAAAAAAAAAAATACAGTGTTAAAGCGCCAGTAACAACACCAGCGTGTGTGAGATGGTTAGCAGGCTAGCACTAGCCGCTAATGCCAGCACCAGCAGCAGAAAAAGGCCAACATGGCAACAACGTTTGCGTGGGTGAGATGGCCAGAAGGCAAACTAGCCGCTGATGCTAACACCGTCGGCATGGGTGAGATGGCTTGAAGGCGATCTAGCCATCTATGCTAACACCAGCAGCGAAAAAGCTGGTGTACATCGCAAAAACGTAGAGAAAGATTGGACCATCCAAACTTAATTAAGTGCAGACAAAACCACTGACTAAGCTTTTGGTCTGTACAATTGTCTACACTATATGCACATATATATGTATACTGGCATGCAAATTCTTTTCAAATTTAAATAGTAATTCAACAAGAAGTTGCCATGTCATTCATACAAAGGATGGTTGAAAGCAACAACGCAAAACCACACAAACACAAGATGCGAAAAACCACACACAACTTCGTATTTAAAAAGTCTGCCGCAAGTAAGTTGCTAGAGAGCGATACCTGCATTGATACGTTGACTCCCATTTCATAAAACAAGCAGGAGAAAAAGAGAAGAAAACAGAGCACTTAAATATTTTCCATACCTTCTCTCCCAGTTTGAATGGCGGAAGACCCTTGTAAGGGCCTGTGCTGCATCGAAAAGCATCCCCTAATCCACACTGTGAAGTGTATAATCAGTCGAAGAGAATGATTTGATCAAACACAAGCTACTAAAACAAGACTCATTATGTTGAGGCTATCATAGAAGTAATTTGTTTATTATCTCGGTTTCTTCCTTCTTGTTTTCCAGAAATTTAAAGACACTTGCATTGATAGCATATATATATTTAAACTCTTAAATCTAAGCACCAAGGGAAGACAGGACAATCAGTTATTAAACAAAAATTTAGAAGGCATACATTTCGACATGCTAAACTGAGGATTGTCCAGTTGATCCTTTGTCAGACCTAACTTTCTCCTCTGCCTCGGCCCCTTCCGCAACTGCAGTTTTTGCAAGCTTTCCTTGTGCTCCCTTTTTTAGAATGACTCTACACTCTAAAGGGAAATGCGAGACATAAAAAACTTCAAATCTCTGCTGAACTTTTGAAATCTGATAAAAAAATCTATCTTAAGTTCCTCCTATATATATTTTTTAAATTGAATTTATATTTATCTACCTTGAAGTCAAATCTAAAATCGGTCAATAAAAAATTTCTAATAAAAAGAACAAAAAATTCTCAGACCATTGACCCACCGAGCCCAACACCCATATTAACCCAGACCAATGACCCTTCAAGCCTATCTAAGTATGGCCCAAGCCTAACATCACCCACATAAAAGAAAGTTGAATTGAATCGTCCGAAGCCCATTGTGAATTTGCAACTTTGGGAACTCGTTTTTGACTTTTGAGTTTAATGAAGCTACTGAATTTTAAAGAAATAATCCTTCAATGCTAAGCTGGCATAGAATTTAATCATTTAATGCGTTGTGAGAAATGTGGAAAGTGCAAACTAACGCCCCTCCATCATTGCAATAATTCTCGCCCAAATGAAATGCAAAGAGCCTAAAGCTAGAGATAAAGTTATAAATCTATAATTGCATTTCTTGACTAATTATCATCAACTGAACTTCTCTAAGTTGATCAGTTAAGCTTCTTTAAATTCCTTTGGGTTCATAAAAAACGGGAGGTTATCACCAACCACCCCTATATTTTCATTGATAAATGGATATATGCTAGCTTATGTAGATTTAATCAAACAATACTCCTAGATTTTCATCACTAACATCCCATAAGTTAACATTTATCAAACTTCAATTTACCACCTAAGGCTAAAATTGTCTTTTTTTTTTTCTTTGCGTAAATCCTATATATAAAATTATAGACTAAAAATTTATACATGAACAAAATTACAAAATAAAAGTTAAAAATTCATTGATACTATCAAGGTCGCCAAAATCGACATGCAACAATCTAAATGTAACCGATGAAATGAGGATAATAAACAACCAGATTTATGGCCAAAGATCTGGTCATTGATGGCCAGATTTGGCCATATCTATCTGGCTGTTGACAATGGGCTGAAATTTGGCCATCAATGACGGCCAAATTTTGGTCGTAGATCTAGTCGAAAAATGTCAGATCAGTGCACGACAACCTACATGTACACAATCAAATGAGGAATAACAAACCATTCCAGCTAGATCCATATATTTTAAAATTGCTTCTTAATTAGTTGTTGTAATAATGCCTCAATTATTATTTGAAAATAAGGGATTGAATGAGAAAAAGTCTTATAAAGAGGTGAACAATATGGAAGAAAAAGCAGTTACATGTATAAAGTGATAAACATTTAACAGAAAAATTAAAATGATTTGAGGTGATAAAATTTTTATTTAAGTAATATTACATATGCAAACTATTGATACAATATATTCTTTACAAACTGATGTAAAGACCATACATATTTGACATATAGATTCCTTTAATTTATTTAATTTCTCTTTAATTTACAGTCATTTATTTATTTCCAAAACACATAAGANACAGGGTTGTGTTTATCAGGTTTTAAAATCTGCAAGTGATAGCAGGGGTGTGTTTATCAAGTTTTCTAACCTGCAGGATGTTTTTGTTTAGGGTCTGATCGGATTTTTTTGAATTTGGTAATAAAGTCATTTACTATTTTTAAGTTGACCTAAGCAAACAGCATCTTAATGGCAGGAGTGTTTTTAATAGTTTTCAATAATCTAAATTTTCATAATAGTACAAGGGTAATAAAGTCATTCATTATTTTTAAGTTGACTTAAGGAAAGGCAGAATCACTTACACATACCCAAGGTTTGGCAAAATAACAAGTTGGTACCCAAAAGGTTTTGAAACGACAGATAAGTACCTTTCGTCATATTCTGTTAGTGATTTTCATTTGATAATAGTGAAAAGACTAAAATGCCCTTGAAAGTTTCATATTTTAGTTTTTTATAAATTTAAAAATTTCTAAAAAAACCACATAAGTTTGCTAATTTGACTAAATACCCTAATATATAAAATTTTTATAAAATAACAATAACACCCCCGCCACCCGCAGTGCCAGATTCCAATCACCACCGCCGGAATCTAGCTAAAAAATTGCGTTACGACATAGACACGTCGGATCTGTGTCGTAACGCGTCGATCTGGCCTTTTCAACCTATTTTTGAAATTAAGATTTGAATAGATTATATAAGTGTCAATCTATTTTGTTTTTGTAAATAAAAAAAATAAGGGTTTTGAGTTCATGAGATGCAATTTATATTGCAGTACTGCTTCCCCCTAACCTCAACCCTACCGTCTCTTTCCTCCATCTTTTTTTCTTTCAATTAATTATTTTCCTTGGCTATGTATTTGTTGTATGAATGAATTTTACTGATTTTGATATATTTGGGGGTTTGTAGGTGCTTGTGATAATAGATGTTTTGTGGTGTTTCAAGTTACTGGGTTGGTGGTTTGGAGTTGGTTCTTGGACAATGGTGAATGGGTTTTGTTNGTGATTGCAAAGGGTTGGTTAAACACCATGGATCCATCGGTTGAGTGTAGACAGTGGGAATATTAAATTCGCGTCGTTAATTATGTATAAGATTTATGATGGGTATACTCTTGCATTTCCATGCTTTGTTAATTATGTACTAGATTATAGAGTGAGTACTCTTGTATATTCTCGTTGACATAATTACAATGGATTTCTCTCTCATATGTGGATGTAAAAGAGTTATATTGAACCACATTAAATATTGTGTCTCTTTATATGATTTATATTATTACTTATCAATCTCGATATTTTCCGTTACACCATCTTATAACATCTAATTCTTTTAATTTGACATAAAATAAAAACAATAAACCTTGATTAACATATTATTCCATAACTATAATTCAATTTTCTCTTCATATTCTTTTTATTAGCATTACTCTCCGTAGGACTAATTAATTGACATGTTAATTGTTATATGAAAAACCGAATTCAAAGAATTTATCCTTGAAACATAATAATTATTGTCTCTTTGTATAAATTTTTAGTTGCTATGCCTTTAGTATAGAAAATTCAGGTAATTAGTGATATGAATTATATGATAAAATCACATAAGATAATATATAACTAGGGATGAAATTTTTTTGTGTGATGCCATTTGCAATGGGTGATGTTATTCTTTATTTAATATTAAGGAAATTATGTTTTCCAAGAGATAAAATTATGTTTATTTTCTTTTAACATGGTCAGTGAGAAGGTACTTAGTTACTCATTTAGCCATGTTACCATTAGTACCATGTTATGCATGGTAAGCTCATAGGCTAATGAAATGAGTAATGAGAATTCAGCAATTTTACCGATTCTTTAACTTTCTTTAAATAAATTTAACATAAATGCTTATCAATAATTGAAGGAATAGGATCCTATGCGTTTTCCAATTGACGGACCAGAAGGAAAGTAAGAGAGGGCATCAATAATAGAAGAGTGATAAATATCTATGCTTTTACCAACTCATCAGAAGAAAAAGTAAAAGAATACTTACAGGTAGTAAGTATGCAACCGACAACTTTTGATCTGTATACTAAAGCATTTAACACAGTATTGTCACTACATTTTCTCGAGAATTCTATCTTCTTTTGCCTCTTACAATTTCATATTGTTCATCCATGGCGTTGATATCTTCTTCTTCTTCGATTAACCCACAAGCCAAGTATGATGTCTTCCTTAGTTTTAGGGGTGAGGATACTCGAGATAACTTTACAAGCCATCTCTATGCTGCTCTACGTCGAAAACAAATCAAAACATTCATTGATTATGATGGACTTAAGAGGGGAGATGAAATTTCACCTGTTCTCTTGAAAGCAATTGAAGAATCAAAGATTTCAGTCATTATTTTGTCAAAAGATTATGCTGATTCCAAATGGTGCTTGGATGAACTTGCAAAGATTATTGAATGCAAGAAAATGAATGGCCAAATGGTTGTACCGATTTTCTACCATGTAAATCCATCAGATGTGCGAAAGCAAACCGGATGTTTTAAGAATGCTTTTGTCAAACATGAAAAATGTTTCAAGGAGTTGACGGAAAAAGTTCAGAGGTGGAAGGATGCTTTGACTGAAGCATCTAATATATCCGGATGGGATTCGATGGTGATTAGGTAAGTTTTTCATTTCAATATACTAGAGTCTTTTATTTATGTATTCCTTTTATAGAAACAATGGTATATATTTAGTAGTGATGACAGAGCTCAAATATATATTTTTATAGTACTTGTTTTTATATTATATTATTTGCTTATGTTGTGTTAACTTTAACATAATATTTCTTTTTGGGTTCATGTATGGTAGGCCTGAGTCCAAACTAGTAGACGAAATTGTCAAAGATGTTTTGAAGAAATTGAATTATATATCGCCCTCAAGTCATTGGAAAGATCTAGTGGGAATAGATTCACGCATCGAGGAAGTTGTATCATTATTATGCATTGGGTCATTAGATTTTCGAGTTGTAGGAATTTGGGGAATGGGCGGTATAGGTAAAACAACCATTGCTGAAGCTGTTTTTAGAGAAATTTCTAGTCATTTTGAAGGTTGCTCTTTCATTGCAAATGTTAGGGAAGAATCAGAAAAATGTGGTGGACTAGTTCGATTACGAGAACAAATTCTTTCTTCAATTTTAGAAGAAGAAAATCTTCAGATGGGCATCGCCTATAATATACCTCAATTTATGAAGCACAGAATTCAGTGCAAAAAGGTTTTCATTATTCTTGATGACGTTAATGATATTGAGCATTTAGAAGTTTTAACCAGAGGGCTTGATGGATTTGGTCTAGGCAGTAGAGTCATTATAACCACTAGAGATAAACAAGTGCTTCGTAATTATGGAGTTGAACACATATATGAAGTCAAGGGATATTATGACTATGAAGCTCTTCAAATCTTTTGTAATTGTGCATTTAAACAAAACCATCCGCTTGAAGATTTCATGGTGCTCTCAAAGGAGATAATTGATTATTGCAAAGGCAGTCCGTTAGCTCTTAAAGTGTTGGGCTCCTCACTGTATCGAAGGAGTAAACGAGATTGGCAAAGTTCTTTGGGTAAATTGAGAAGAATTTCTAATCCAAAAATTCACAATGTGTTGAAAATCAGCTATGATGGACTAGATGATGAAGAAAAAAACATATTTCTAGACATTGCTTGTTTTTTTAAAAGGTGGGACATCAATTATGTAATAGATATACTAGGCAGGTATTACATATCTCCTTATTTTGGACTAAGTGTTCTCCTTGATAAGTCACTTGTAACAACATCAGGCAATCTATTAGAAATGCATGATTTACTTCAAGAAATGGGTTGGGAAATTGTACGCCAAGAATCGTTGAAAGAGCCTGGCAAACGTAGTAGGTTATGGCATCACGAGGATGTCTTCCATGTACTGAAGAACAATACAGTAAGCCAAATTATAATATTAAGTTAGTTTTCCAAATAAGAATAAGGCCACAAAATACTTCACTTCAAAAATCAAAATTAAAGATTTTAGGAATACTTATTTTTGTGCTAACGTATCTTTCTTTGGTTTGAAGGGAACCCATACGGTCGAAGGAATGTGCTTAGATAGAATAAAATCAGAGATGTGAATCTAAGTTCAGAGCTTTTGCAAATATGCATAATCTAGATTTCTTAAATCTATGTCTCTCGACTTTCTGAAGAGCTGTAAATGTCTCTAAAGGGCATCTTCCGGAAGGCCTAGATTATCTTTCTGAAGAGTTGAATATCTCGATGGGATGGATATTTTCAAAACTTTGGCCGTCAATTTTAATCCACAAACCTTCATGAAACTTCATGCCTTTAAGCAATCTTGAGCAACTCTGGAAGGAACCCACGGTACGTATAAATTACTATTCAGTTATTTGCTTCTTCATTCAAATATGAATATAATGTGTGTTCTTCAGAGATTAATTTTTTTGGTCACTTTTGCATTACAGCATGCCTTCAAGTTAGAGTTGATTGATCTCATCACTCCCAAACGCCTAATAGGGATCCCAGATCTCTAGACGCCACCATTGCTTGAGATTATAAATCTGAATGTTGCAAAAAGCGTGCTTGATGTCTCTCTATCCATATCCGACATCTTCATGTCCTAAATCTTCATGGCTTGTGAAAGTTTGAGGAACTTTCCGATGAACATCACTTTAAATCTCTCAAACTCTCGTCTCTCAGAGTGCCATTATCTCACAAAGTTTCACAGATTCAGGGGATCGTATAGAAACAATTATATTTCTCGGATCTGCAATAGAAGAAGTTCAATCATCCATCCAATATCAAAAGCCTACGCGTCGTAATATAGTGAGTGGAAATCTTAGGACTTTTGAATAGCAACATTCCACTTCGAATCATGTAAATCTTAATCTCTCCCTACGCATTAATCTCACAAAGTTCCCACAGATTTTGGAAATGTGGTGGATTTAAATTTGTCTGGAACTGCACATAGAAGAGACCCTCACAGATGATTGTCAACGAGTCCATTCATTAATAGAAGAATGTGTACTACGCTCAGAGTATTAAGTAGCATTTGCAAATTGAACATTCTTTCCAAACTAGATCTAGGCGCTGCAAAAAAACTACAGAGTTTCCGAAACTTGAGGAAAGGAACATTAGAATATCTTTCTTAGTAGAGACAGCAATTAGGAGCTACCATCTTCGATGTGAAGGTTTTAAATGGCTTCGTCGTTGAGGAATGCGAGATTGCAAAAATCTTGAGATGATTCCAGTCAGCATTTGCAATTTGACATCTCTAATGAGATGATGCTTATGGCTGCTTAAACTCAACAAATTGCCGTAGAACTTAATACATTTGAAAACAATCAACTTAAGAGAAACTGCCATAAGCCAATTGCCATCCTGTAATTACCAAGTGGAAGGACATTGAATATTTGGATTGCTCTAATTGTCGAGGTTTGATATTGCCTCCATTGTCATCTTTATGCCCTTAACGACGTTATATTTACCTCTCGCAATCTAACAAATCCCTGATGATCTTTGCAATTGACCTCATTGAAACATTGATCTAAGCGGAAACAATTTCAAGAATCTTACAAGGTATCAAACAACTTCCCTTGAATGACCTATATTTAAGCAACTGCAATATGCTTCATCCGTGCCAGAGCTCCACTGTCTCTGAGATTTTAGAACAAACAATTGCAGATGCTCACACATACCAGAGCTCCCTCAGATTAATGAATTAATGGCATCGAGTCGGAAACGGCATATGAACAATTCACCATTTTTTCATGGATAACGATTGAATTCATATTCAAAACTGTCTGAGTCTGAATCAGAGAAAGCATCAACACCATTTTAGAGAATATAGCATCACTGAGACTTTGTTATGAAAAGTTATTCTCTCTCACACTACTCTCTCTTCTCTTTTTACTATATGTCTTAAGAAATGACGAATTTCATGTTAAAGGTATATAAACAAACGCTAAAATCGCTATTGCATACCTGGGCAGTGAAATTCCCAACTGGTTCAGTTTCAAAGCTCGGGATCTTCAATAATTATTGACTTCACCGCATTTGAGTAACGAAAGCTTCATGGGAGTTGCTGATGTGCTGTTATGCATTTGAGGAACATATAATGGAGATGATCTTGAAGTAAGTTGCGTTTACCATCTTGACACTGATATGCTGATGAGATTACTTCTACTGGCATTTGAGGCTAGGGGCATGAATAAGATGCTGATTGTAGTCAGATCACAGGTGTAGTAGGTATATACCTATTCTAGGCTGATTAATGGTCGCCACACAGCCTCATTTAGGTTCAGTGCAAGTATTGATTTCAGGGACATTTCCATGGAAGGGTGTAAGGTGAAAGTTGTGGGGTTTTCCACTATCATACAGCCAAACCATGTTCAACCCTACATTCGGAGGGAGAAATCTGCTGCCACCAGTGAATGTTCGTGGAAATGAGTGGAAGAGCGAGTATCCGATATGAGGAGTGCAACCACATCTTAAGAGAATTTGCAAGAAGCAAATCAACACTTCCTTAATAACATATTTCCTTTCTTCTGTATCATTCTTGTTTGGCTGGTTTGTTCTTCACTGGACTGTTGCTTTAGCTATGGAGCTATTCATGGTGTCTCTGTCAAATTTAGGTAATTGCTTGTCACGACTTCAAGTCGTTTTTGACAATGATTAGTATTGACATCTGTTTTGGCCTCTATAATTAAGATATGGTATTTTTTTGTCGTAATCATTTCAGCACTACTGTTTTGTCTCTTCACTTTGTTTGGCCTGTGCCAAGAGTTGCGGTGCGAAATGTCAGAGAGGATTTTGAAGGAATGAATGAAGATACATCGCCTTGGTAACATTTGTCAATCGCCTTGGATTTCAGGTTAAAAATAATGGGAAGGTTGGATGTCCCTTAGTTGTAAATATTTGGTCATATAATATGTTGAATATTAGCAAAATTTGAGTATAATTACTCCATAGTTAAGTTCATTTCACAATAAAATTTTAGATGGTAACTTGATTAGTGTAATTAGTTCTTGTTATTGATTGCACAATTTTCTTTTACATTTAATGATTTTGGTTGGCATTTTGGTAGTATTTATGGGTTTTTCTTTAACATAAGGTTGTACCAGTAGCAGTTGATTTTTGTCGATGTGTCTATGAATTTGCTTCTAAGCAAGTGTGAAAACACAACCATGGACACTAAGAGAGGTTGTGACACAATTAAGATCTTTGTATCTAATTGTTCTCTTTATCTACTGAAACCTAATCTCCTATTAATGTAGTTATTTTTAGGTGAACCATGTAATATCAATTGTGTATAGAGTAGTAGTTTACTGTTTTGTGTTAGTTAACCTTATTATCTGACATGGATTGCTACCTCTGCTTTCAGTGTAGTTGTAATATAAAGCAGTTACATTCTCTTTGATTTCCTTTCCCTTATTTTATTTTATTTTTATTTTCATATACACTTCTATAATACTCATATTGTGATGAATATCCGGCATATAAATTGACAATAGATAAATAAGATATTGATTGTTGCGGCGAATAATTATTAAATTTTAGAAACTTGTATATATGTTCAAAATATCTCATATGTTGTTAGATAAATGCTTTTTGGAATGTTTGGATGCATGACCATTACTGAAGAGGGGAGAAGAGGGTTTATGACATCATAAGCTATGAAAAAATTAAAACCCCTGTAATTAAAGTTAGGTTTTTGAAATCTTTTTGACAGTGTGACATATAAAGATAGGGCCATATATTGTTTATCTATATAATCCGTTTGATAAATAAAAGGTTATTTCATATCACTGTGAGATGATTGTATATACGCATTGTTGTGTTAAAGAAAACTAAACATCTGTTGTTAATAATATGTTTTAGGATTTTTATCAAATGTTAAATTCAAAAGTCAATTTTACCCCTCCATCATTTTTTTCCTCATTATTTGTATAATCATTTAAAACTATTAAAATACTAGATAGTTTATACATAATTTATTATTCATTTATCCAAATTAATTTTAATTATGTTGGAGAAAACAACTTATTACTCAAATATCGTATTTGGTGACTGAATTATAATCATTTTAAGACTTTGTAAATTTTAACCTTTGTTTATTCTATAAAAATTCAAAACATTTGACTTTAAAAAATTGCTTTAAATCACATTTAACTTTGTATATTTTATTAAATCATTTATCTTAACAAATTCATTTTTTTATATTGAAATATTTTTTTCTAATTTTTGTTAATTGTTTCGTTTTGTTTGTGTAATGGTAAGTGTAGTTTTGTGGATTTAAGGAATAAAGGAATTAAGATATTGATTAAGTTGGTAGTGATGGAAGGGCAAAAGAGAAGGGTAAAAACAGACTTTGAATATCATTTGCCTCAAGAGAGATTGGAGAAATCAAATGACACAGCGGTTTTCTAAAGTATGAAAAAAACCCTGCCGTTAAGTAAACAATTTTGTTAAGTTACAGATAAAGGCATAATGTCTTTTTATACCCTTCCCTCTTTTGCGCCCATTATCAAATTAATTTTAATTGATTTTGTTTTTCCGTTTTTTTCTTTTACTGGGAATTGTTCTTCGGAAAATGAAAATTCTCTCCCTAAATCTTCTACCTCTACCACATTTTCTCAGAAATAATCCACTCTCATATTTTTCACACGACACAATTTAATTCAAGCAATGTAATATTTTATTTTGCGAAAGAAATAATTAACTCAAACTAAATCAATTGATCCCTCTTGGTCTCCCCGCTGTTGCTCAATCTTCTTTTTTACAGTTGCTCTTCTCTAACAATCGACAAATTCTTTTGATTTCTCGATCTAAGAATTAAAAGGTAAAGCATTAGTTACAGCTTTAGCCAGGTGGTTGGCCGCGACGGAGACGCATAGATGTGCCTCTTGCTCCTGTGATGATCCGTGCCAGGGGGAACTTATCCATTGGGTAAGCAAATGTGTGCTGGGAAATCATTTGGGAACCAACATTGGGGATATTTTGTAAATAGTTCCGACAATGAGATTGCTTTCTTGTTTTGTAATGGGATTCGAGTAAACTGCTGCTTTGTGTGCGGTTGTGGCGGATTCTGGTAACGTTGTGGCGGATGGTAATTTGT